TTATCCCTTAATTGAGAGTCGTTAGTTCTTTAAAGAAAAAAATTATTTCGAAAATAATACACATACTTAGAATTGTTTTCAATCTGATATACGAAGAAAATACAAATTTTGTATTATCTAACCGAAAGACGTAAAGATTTCAAAATAACATTGTGATTCGCGGTTTAAAACGCTTGGCGGATAGAAGTGAATTCTCATGCGTTTAGTGTATCGCAGTTTTGTAGAACGAGACCCCAGGGTACGATATTCTGTATTATAGTCGTCACGCGTATATACGTTCATGAGAAATACGTAATTCGAGTGGTTCGTATCGGTAGCCGTTCTATAACGCACTATGCCGCTTATGTAAAGCATACTACGTTCATGTATGTAGATACACAGTATACAATATATGATAATACGTAACATGGGACTGTTTGCTAGAGTTGAAAGGATATATCATTGAGCAGGAAGGAATATCCCAGTAGTAAAAACACCGATTGTTGAGTCGAAAGTTGAATATAAAGTTATATTAAACAATATAACTTTTCGTACATTTTCAAACGAATAAATTCCATTTCATATGCGTTTTTTGATCAAAAATATTTATCACATTTGGTTTTTCAAAAAAAAATGTTCATCAATAATCCTATTCTATAATAGAGCCGAACTATACAGAAACTTATTGACCCACAAAATGGTAACAAGTTTATTAAATTCAGTCTGAATTCCATAACATTGTGATCTATAATTTACCAAAACTTATCAACCCATAAAAACTCTTATATTATATAATTATAAAAACTACCCAACTATAGTATCACTTTAGATCAACTCATACAAATTATACAAAATTTACATTAATATATAAATTATACTACAAAGAATTATAAAAGGTGTTATAATATATTAAATATTAAAATTAGGTCAATCATATTAAATATAATAGTTTTAGCTCATAATTAAAAAAATTATTTAATTAAACGGTATTATCTTTTTTTTTTCGTAAAAAATCAAAGAAGTCTTCATTAAATGTTCTCTCGCAAAGTGCAAACGAATGTGATGAAGTCTTCCCTTTCGTTACGCAAAGAATGACAAATGGATGACCATTAGAACGATTTCGTGATCATTTCGTCCTTCCATCGTCCAACACTTTGCTTTGAGTCACACGCAAAAAATTAATTACCACCACGAGCATTCGCATCAAGTGCGGTAAAATCATTGGTTGCGGGACTCCCTCGTCGTTGATTCATGCGACTATGTGGTATACCTATACACATACGCGTATATATGTGTACATACGTGTAAGCGATAAATCTTTAGAAAGATCTGTAATTATAAAATACAAAAAGCGGGAGAACAGCGTGAAAAAAGAAATTAAAATTATTTAATTATTGCTGATATATAGATAAGAACTAAACTAATATCTCGTTAATTTAACTACTAATTAATTTACTAATCGTTCACATCATTATACTAATTTGAAGAACACTTTGTCATTCTAAAAACGTAGACACGAGAACATAGGTATTATTTAATTCTAAATACAATTAGTCTCTAATATCTTACTTATATAAAATGCTATTTTATTTGAATTATTTTATTATTTTGATTATATTACTTTGATTATATTAAAATAAAAATTACATATTTCCACTACTTTTAATAAACGTATTTATATTTTTAAAAGGAAAAATTCAAAAAATAAATGATAAAATGTACCACGCGGATAAGATTCGGTATATATTTTTATATCTATACTAACGCAATTACGGGTAAACGTTAATGCATTGAAAATCATATAAATGAAACTTAAAAAAAGATAAATATATCATACATTTATTTAATTTTGTGGAGCTTTCGAAAAACAAATATTCAGTGATATTATTATACATACCTTTTTTGTTAGTTAATAATTCATAATATTTTTGTAAATGTATTTAAAAATTTAATAAAACATGACCATACTCTCGTAATAAAGATTATACAACGAGGAAAAACTATGTAATTAGAGACATATTCGTTAATGTTATATTCGTAAGACAAATGAAGTTTAAAACTCGTATAAATGTAACGTATTTCGAATAGACGCTCTCGGCAAAACGCTATTTCGAAACTGACACGAATCGTAACGGTACTCATCAGTACGGTACAACAGCAATCCACCTTGTAAAAATTTGAAAAATTTAATGGCCTCATTATCATTTAATACGACGCCAGAGAAATATGACTTCTCATTTTAGAAGAGAGTATCAAACACCGGAGGAAAAGGGATTGTTAATGAAGAGATAGATCAAAAGGAAATACGAAGAACCTTCAACGTTATAATAATTTAATTGAAAAAGTAAGAAAAAAACGAAAACCTTGTGATTTCTTTCCCCTCGTTGATTAATTGCACCTGTTGGAACGAAAGCATTACAAAATAAGTATTCGTGAATAAGCTTGTCGACGAAATTCGATCACACGCCGCGGTACTTTTTGTAACGCAACCGTTTAATTGCAATTGTAATTAACCGTGGTCGAAGCTGCCCAATGAGCGTATTAATTTGCCACGGAAAATGTTTGCGGACGAGTGTATTTATATTGCGCGATATACGTCGTACGCGTATGTGTGCACGCATGCCAACGTGCGTGTGTACGGATCGATTTAGCCCAGCCGAAAATTCATTTAACTTTCCAATTTTTCCGATAATGTCTCATTAATTCTCATTAATTTTTATTATCGTTCTCTCATGAATCTGCAAAGATCGTGTTGCTCTGATTGATTTATATTTTTTTTTTGTACATTTATTAACATATAAATAGTATAATTTATTTATTGAAATATACTATTAGGAATACTAGAAAATCTGTATTATTTTCTAGATTTATGATTATCATCATTTTCATAATTTTGATTAAATATATTTAATTATAAATAGATATATAAGAGTTGTGATATACAATATAAATTACTTCTCAATGTTAAATCCCGCACACATATAATCCGACAAAAATATCCCCCTTAATGATCGAATCTTTTTCCCACACATTTAGTCCCTAACTTTCTACCAATAAGACATATCTTTTTTATCGCACAACGATAAATTCAGGTGGGTTTAGCGCCGAGGTTTAATTAAACTAGTTTGGTCGTCATTCCGTCCCTTTCCAGAGCCCAAGCTTGCTTTTACGTGTCTCCGTTAGAATCGATCGGCCACTTTAATTTAGTCGCTCGCGAACGGAACGCACTCTTTACGTTATATTAGTAAATTTATATATAGGTAAAGAAAAAATATATCTATACGATACGTACTAGTAAATATCATTAGTATTCTTAAAAGTACCACTTTATTATACGTACTCGAGGCAATAAACGAGAAATACCACGAGCCATTTTTTAACCGTTCATTTATTTTCTTTCAATAACTACTCGTTCGATTATAACAAAAAAAAAATGTTAAGTTAATGTTAAATGAAATCAAATAATTTATATTGGCGTCTCATTTTGCGAGACAGATTCAATATATTATATTAACGAATTGTAAAAAAGAAAAAAAAAGAACAAGTAGTATTATAAGAATTATTTTTTAACGTCCTTTCAGCATTAATGATTCTCTTAGCAACGCTAAAGAATGAGATCCTGTTGATCTCACGTAATCAGTCTTACGTAAAAGCCGTCATAAGCCGTGTTGTGTAGTTCCCATAGATCGAAACACGGATAACGACAATCCTCCCGTGGATATGAAAATTTACGAGTCGCCAACGTTATTCCGATCGTTTCGTTTCTCGTCAAAGGAGGAGTCACGAAAATTTATTTACCATAGGTTTCGGGTCAGTAAAAAAAAAATCCTTGATATTTTGATCGTTCGAATAGGCTATTATTCTTTGTTCTTTGCTGTGCGGCAAGCGAATCGATTGGTTGCTTGCTTGCTTGCTTGCTTGCTTTGATAGATGCTTGACAAATCAAGAACCTAACTCGTAACTTTTTTTTATCAAACTTTCAATTATCCAAAGGTCCTGCCCCTTGAGCCAAGCAATTACAAACACGCGACTCTCTCCAACATAATTTCAATAAATATTTGCATTCTTTTAACTAAATAAAAAAAGGCCAATTAAAATCTGAAGACAACGACGTTTTTATGATAATTAACACATTTCCAGCTAACGTTTCAATTAATATATTAATCCGAAAATATTTATATATCTTATATTCTATACCTACATGAGAGTTCGGTATAGAAAATATGCAAACATTTCTAAACACAAATATATATATATATATTGATATGCCAAATAAATTAAATTATCAAAATTAGTCCTATCTAATTTGAATATAAGTATATCATATGTCTAAAAATTTATCAATTAAATAATTACTATTACAGCAAACGAATTTCTCTATATGTTATACGACCGTTAACTAAATCGAACTAAATGATATGCATTTACATATCGTTGAAAAACGACAAAGTTAGCGCGTAAAGTAACGAATGGGACTGAATAAATAATAATAATAATCATAATTGGTAAATGGAAGGAAGTAGAAACTGTGTAATTAGACGACTCGTTTATGCAAATAAAAGGACGCTAATTACGTCGTAAATGCGGTAACCATATCAAGATCAATATTCCGCGTCGCGTTTGTTGTTTACGCGAGTCTCATAAGCGACGTAACGTAAAATGAAAAACTCTCAGACTTTTGAGGGGACCCATTGAAACACCATAATTTACTTTTTTTTACTTTAAAGAGAGTATTTGTTGAAAAGCAATAACATTATTCATAAATTAAAATACGACATCGATGCGACCGTAACAACGTTCGCATGAATATCAACTTTATTTGTGCGTTATCAAATTAATAAAAAATATGAAAATAAAAAGAAAATCAGAAATACTAATAATAGAAAGTTTAAGAGTAGGAAAAAAAACGATTCGATTAAAAAACAAGGTAAAGTTCACTCGGATTTAGAATTTGGTGCTTGGCAATAAAAGCAAATAGGTGTCGCATAAATACTACTCTGATAACTAGGCTCACAACTTACCGGGCTTATCCAGATCAGATACGTCGACCTGCGAGTAGACCGAGGCCACTCCCAGGACCAACAAAACTGTGGTCGTGGTTGTAGTGGTGCTACTATTCGTTGCGGATTGCATCGTCGAAGCGATGCTAGCGAAGTTCCACCTGCACCTCCACCACATTTTTTCTCTTCTCTCTTTTTCCTCTTCCTCTTTCCTCTTTCTTCTTCTTCTTTTTCTTCTTCTTTTTCTTCTTCGCACTAATTATTCACAAAATAACGAACAAAAAAAAATAAAAAATAAAACGGGACACACGTTCCCTTCAGTTTTTCTTTTCGTTCTTTCCTGGTATTACTCCTGCTAAGTGTTAGCACTCCATAAACTTAGGACAGTTTCGAAATGGCACTACTAATTGCAGCCACGAACCTTCTTTTCGTTTTCTTTCTTCCCTCCCATGTTCGTTATGCCAGCAACGCGTTCGCTGCCGTCGCAGCATTGCGTCCTGGACATTTTCCCTTAATTTCTTTTACCTTGCCTCTTATTTTTGTATTATAACCTTCTAGGTGGATTGATTTTCAAATGGATTTTTGATAAAAAGTATATTACTTGAAAAGTCGACGAGATATAATTTTTAATCCATTAATAACATCTCTCGTACAATGTACAATTTTTGTTTTTCTAATTTCAGATATCTCCGGACAAAAATTTGTATACACGTGTATGTCTGTAGAAATTGATGATAGAAAATTTGGAAGAGACACACTTCGATAATGGCAATGTTACGACGAAAACTCATGAATATCTATCTCATGTTTCGTTGGCAGTTTAGTGATAATAACTCGTGAATTTGTCACGTTTCGTTGGCAGTGTTGAAAGAATTATCATTCGAAAATACACGACGAGATACAATTTTTAATCCAATAGTAAAATCTCTCGTCGAAAATTGTCGTCGTATTTCGTTGAAATGTACAATTTTAGTTTTTCTAAATTTTAAATATCTCCGGACAAAAATGTGTACATATACATGTATGCCTGTAGAAATCGGTGGTAGAAAATTTCGATGCAACACACTTCGATAACGGCAATATTACGATGAATGTTCGTGAATATTTCACGTTTCGTTGGCAGTTTAGTAATAATAACTCGTGAATTTGTTACGTTTCGTTAGTAATGTTGAAAGAATTATCATTCGACGAAACACGAATTTAGTTTGATTTGGTTAGCTTTTATCAATCTCTCTCTTTCTCTCTCACTCTTGAGAAATAAAATCTTTCAAAAAGAATCACGTGTATCTTTTACATTCAGATTAGACCGATGATAAAAGCGTCTCCGTATTTTTATCAAAGAAGAGTAACTTAGATTCGTTGACAAAGTAACTGATAATTATCAGCAAAAAAAGACGAATCAGAAAGATTGATTGAACTCACTCATAAGACAATCCTTGGTAAGCTCTGAAAATAAGTTTCAATCGAAACTGTAAATATCCCTTGGTGATACAAATCGATTCGTTCTAATCGATCCTCACGTGTCTTGTCAAAACTATTCACGAGAGCGTGTCACGTGCGTACACGTACGGGGATTGCGGTGAGGTTCTTTTTTTTTTCTCTCGATCGAATTTTGTGCAAATGTCCTTTGACAGCGATAACAAGAAAATAAAAACAAAAGGAGGTGGGGGGAGAGAAAAAAGGAAAAAAAGAGAGAAAAGAGGAGAAAATGGAAAATAAAATAAATTGCGGAAACAAGTAAACGAAAATCTATCTTTAAAAACGAGCTTATCTTTAAAAATACAAAAATCCGTTAGAAATGTCACTGCATCGACGACGGATCATCGACGAAGGCCGTCCATTTTTTATATTCCATCGACGGATTCCGCACCACGTATAAATTTACCGTCGTCATCCGCTAGCATACGTTACGATCGATTTTATTTCGATAGTAATAACAATCGTCAATCAATCGATCGATCGATCGAACTAACTACAAACAACGATAAGAACAAAAAATGATGAGTTCAAAATAAGAAACCAACTTCGTGTGACTTTTGTTTTTCTTTTTTCCTTTCCTTTTTATTTATATCAACGTAAAAACAAATCTTCGACGATTTTCACTCATGACAAAGTGTACTTTGATATAACGCGTTATGCTAGTTCGAAATAAATAACGCGTAAAAACACCTTTCCCATGACGGAACCACATCGAGTCCTGACCCGCAGCGGCTCGGCACTGAAACCATTGAGTAGCACGAATGACTGTCGCGAGTCTCCTCGGTTATATCCGTATTTGCTCGGATACGTTCGGGCACGCTCGCTTTACTATCCTCTTCTATTCTATCACGCCACCCTCTTTCTCATTCTCTACCTATCGGCGAGTCGAATTTCTCTCTCTTCTATACCGAGATAGTTCTTTTCTTTTTTTCCTTCTCTCCCACTTTTTTTCTTTTTCTTTTTCTATGAAATATTAAAAAAATAAACAAATAAATCTATATTTCATTTATATTTGTATCTCGATAATCACGATAGCAATCTATTATTCAACAAAATTATATATTATTTATTTTACGATTTATTTTATAATATAAAATAATTGTAATGTAAACAAAAAATCATATAATTCATTTTTCCAATATTTTGACTCAGTTCGCTGTCATAATTATAGTCACATTTATTCATTTTTCATTTATCTTTCTATTATTAATTTCAATTTGGCATATTATAACATTTTTATATTTATATTTTTCTTCATATGTTTTAATGATCTATTCAACAAATTTAGAACATCGAATAGAACGGAGAATCTTTTTTACCCCAGATGAATTCCTAGTAGTTTACATTAGAATTCTCGTTTCTACGTGTTTATATTTAACTACATATATTTTCTTCTATTTTTTGATATATCTCGTTCTCTCTCTTGCTTGTATTCCTTCCGTATATCGTTTTATTTAGTACGTATCTCCAATGAATCTCCTCCCAGTCTCTCTCTCTTCCTAACTCTCTCTTACTCCCTCTTCGTTATTCTCCCATGCAGAGGATTACTATGATTTAGCGACACGGCTAATGAGTCGCCATAATCGTCGTGGTGCAGGCACCGTACAAACATCGTGCGTGCAACTTGCACTCACCAGGAACGAGATGCTCATGGGTACTGTCTTACTTCGTTATCTATGTAACTCACCTAAGGGAACTCATCCCCCCGCGTCTCTCTCTCTTTCTCTCTTTCACATATATACACAAACACTGCGTTTCTATCTCTTATGGTTTCACTTTGTTAGTTTCCTATTACAGGAAGCCGCGTGTTAACGAGTAACCATTGACCTCAGGTTCCATTCGAAGTTATCTAGAATTTATTATTATTTTTGAAATCCGAAGAAGATGTTTCAAGTTCTTCGGAATAATGAAAAAATTAGTGATTAAATTTTTCAACGGACATTTTCCAATGTTTAATAGTCGAACGTTGAATATACTTTGACTATGCTTTATTAATTAACATTTCTGCATCTATCTTGCATGTTCGGTTTATCAGCATGGAACATTGAGCATTCTAATTATTGATGCGCATTATCGATTCGATGCATAAAAGAGCGACCAATTGCAGGGTTTATTAAAGTTTCCCCTTACGTTTATCCTCTCGATGCACGGCTCGACAAATTTTATTATTCCCCATCTAACGATCGATCTGTCTCATTAAACTCGTTAGAAATGTTTGCTCATGACAAATACGTAACGGACATTACGTCGAAATTACAAATTAATAGTTTATTTGCTTTTATTGACTTTGTTTATTCGTAAAAAGATTCACAAATGAATTCAGTTTCGAGAAATTTTAAGGAGAGAACGAGAGACTCGTTATCATTCTCAATTAATAAATAAATAATTAGCGCATATGTAGTTTTTCGAAATATTATAAAATTTTTATAGAAAGAAGTTAGACTCGCGTAAGATATTTCTATCTAAAAATGAAATTAATTTGAAGAATATATGGAGGGGAAATAATCTTATAAAAGATGATATGAAAAGTGTTGAATGTTTGTGTTTGTATTATATAAGCAAACAGCAACAACGAGTTGAATTCTTGGCTGGTACGCAAGTAGGAGAATGCACGTAACCGATGCACAAGGCCAAACGGAGGACACGTACTTAAGCCGTCGACGAAAACTGATGGTTCGTGCGTAGCAAGTGCATGCGCGAGATAACGACCCTCGAAGCTTCATGACTCTAGAGAACTACCTCCGATCGCGATAAATTCTGGCTTTCGTGTTTCCATCGCTATCGGGAATCGACTGCAAATCACTTCCTAATCCTCATCGAGTAGGTATCTCCGGAGGTACCTTTCCTAAATCCGCTTTGGGTTCGGGGCTTTAGTTTCGTATATCGTTATTCTCTTATCCCTTAGTTCGGCGTACAGTCGACGGCTCATCGATGATCTTTAAACGTAAATCACAATCGGTGGATATCTATGCGTTCGAAGGCTGAATATCAAATAGGATAATTGCGGTTCAAAGCTCGTTATAATGCAGAGAGTTTCCTTCTATCAAGTCTCTACGCGACGTCTTCTCATCTATTTAATATTAATAAATATTATCATTCGTCAAAATGTGAATGCTATTGTCTTTCTCTTTCTCTCAAGAAAATCTTTTAGTAGTATCTTCTCGATCCAATAAAATTAATCTATAATGAGTAAGGATTATATATAGTATCTTGATGATCTTTGATGAAGAAACTTATCGATCAATACGAAGCTCGATGAACCTACGAAGAAATGCAATCGATTTTCAAGTCATCGATCTTACGATAGGAACGAAATGTAAAGGGAATCGAATCAAGAGAGAAACTCAAATCTAAATCGGTAATCACGATTAAAGCCTATCTACCTACCTACCTACGTGGCAAAGATCTTACATCTCATGGTTGAAATTCTCGTTGAAGTCTAAACCACGTGGTAGTTCGACGACATTTTACATCGAGCACAGTACTCGCTTTCATGCACGCCCGACGGATTGGAACCCGACACCACATCATACATCATGATACATCGTTGAACACCCAGGCTGTTAATCCGAAGCACACGCTAGATGCGATGTAATTGGCTTTCCGGTTTGTTCTCGACTTTGTATACGCCATGAAACCTTCCAGGCGCGCTGTTTCTACTCACTCCTCTCTTACAACTTTCTTTTCTTCTTCAACGTCTTCCATTCTCCACAGATGTTCTCTTTTTACTCCTTTTCTGATACGTTCTTGGCTTATAAACGTTTGGCTTATACATATCTAATTATATACATGTATATAATTATACTTCCCTTGTCTCATTTGTTTTTTATTTGAAATATCTATTTACTTTTCTAATTTTAATGCATTTTTGTTTACAAAATATTTCATTGTCGTAATTAGTCAGCATTGACGTGGAAAGTAAGTGTATATTTTCGTTTAATATCTTCGATGATTTCATTCGTTAGATATTCCGAGACAGGAATATTCGTTCTTTTTTTAAAACAACCATACAAGAAATTTTTCTAACATATTTACTCGTGTATCCATAAACGTTTGTCGTACTAAGCAATGTGCGTTATAAGTAATGATCAACTTTTTCTTATTGGAGTCAAAAAATTTCAATTTGCAGTCAAGTTGCAAGCATTTGCAACTTAGTTTAAATCTAAGTTCCGTAGACTTAAATTTAAATTGAGATATTATATAACTCTTAGCATACGTTAAATATAAAAGTAATTTTATTTCAATATTTCGATAACCTGGAGCTGTATCCTTTTGTTTCACAAGTAAATATTGAAACTTTGTCTTCTCATGCAAGTAAATTTATATATATACATTTAAATCAATAATATTTTATATTATTACGTGTTTATTTTATCAATGTAAAGTATATTAGCGGTAATAGAGCATTATTATTATTTAAATTAGCAATCGTACAATTATTTAAACAAGAAATGATGAATAACTCACTATCTAAATTTAAAATAAATAAGTTTTACCATCGTGATGAAAATTAATTTGAATAATTATTACTTTCTATTATTATACATTTATTTTATCAATACTGAGTGTAAATTTAGTAACCAAACATAATTATTATTTAAATAGTAACGAACTTGATAATTACAAATTGTCGTTAATATTTTTATTGAAATCCGATAAAATGTACTACACTAATTTACATACCTTAAATAAATATCAAGCAGTCAGCAAAAATGATTATTCTAATTTTCGTGGACGGACTAATGTAAGAGAGCCGCGTGGTTTACTCCTCGAAATTTATTGCCATACTAATTGTTTTTCATTCGTTAAAATCATTTTAACCGTTCATTGTTATCGTTTGCATAGCTGATATAATCGTTAAATTTTGTCTTTTGTTTATTTGCGTTCAGTAAGTATAAGCAAATAATTTAAAAAGTATTTGTCTACCTTTTATTTGTAGACATGATATAAAAAAAATAAAACATGTTTTCACAAATATCACATAATCATCATTACAAAAACTCTTTCAAACGTATAGGATTAATCAATCAAAGATCGAGGCACTGGCAAACCATTCTCAATTATTGTTGGTGTTTTGAGTAAAAATCGATCGAAGAAAATGGAAAAAACTTATCAGCAATTCGTTTCTTCGTTTGTTTCACTCGAAGTAGAGAAACGAACGAGTTCGTAAGTGGAGGGTGAGAAACGGTAGATGGCCTGTAACAGTTAACTACGGTACAGGGGAAAGATGCTAGAACTAAGGGAGGTGAAGAAGAAAAAGGAAAGGAAGAAAAGGGGGTTGCGCCGGTGGCAATGTTGGCTGGTCGATGGGGTGGAAAGTGGGGGGGTTACTGGTACTGAAATTTATGTCGGTGTTTACGCGGAGTAGATGGCGTTCTTGGTTGAACACAGAAGGAGAATAGTTATTACGATTACGGGTTCACGAGGTACGAGCTCTTGTCCAAGAACTGCAAAATTTTCTTGTCTTTCTATTTCTCCATCTGTCTTTTTCTTCTTCGTATTCTTTCTTCGGTGAGATACGTCCTCAACAAAAGAATCGAAAGATCGCAAAGAATTCGTAGAATTGCTATAACACAGAAGGAATTTCTACATTCTTTGCTTGTCCAACGCCAAGAATACCAACCTATTTTTCATGTCGGTCCTTAGTAGTCGCACCATTAAACGTAACTACTTGCAATTTAATTTGCCCTTTTAAACGAAATTCATTGTAAACGTTTAACTCGTGGT